GAGAGAGAGAGAGAGAGGGAGGGAGAGAGAGAGAGAGAGAGAGAGAGAGAGACATCAATGTGAAAGAGAAACATTGATCAGTTGCCTCCCTTATGTGCTCCACCAGGATTGAATCTGCATAGGGATGATGCTTCAATCAACCAAGCCACTGGCCAGGCCAAGATTTTGTTCTTTATAATGGCCATTTATTGTTCCTATTTTTGATCATTTTTGTCTTCTCTTAAAGAAGGCCCTTTTTTTAATAAAACTGGTTGGTGGTAATGAACTTTAGCTTTTTCTTGTCTGGGAAGATCTTTATCTATCCTTTGATTCTAAATGATTGTTTTGCTGGGTAGAATAATCTTGGTTATAGGTCCTTGCTTTTCATCACTTTGAATATTTCATTCCAATCTGTTCTGGCATGCAAAGTTTCTGTTGAGAAATCAGCTGACAATCTTATGGGAGCTCCCTTGTAGGTAACTGGCTGCTTTTCTCTTGTTGCTTTTAAGATTTTCTCTTTGTCTTTAAGCCTTGGTATTTTAATTATAGATGTGTCATGCGAATGGGCTTTTTTGGGTTCATCTTGTTTAGGACTCTCTGTGCTTCCTGGACTTTTATAGTTATTCCCTTTACCAGGTTAGGGAAGTTTTCTGTCATTTTTTCAAACAGGTTTTCAATTTCTTGCTCTCTCTTTTCTCCTTCTGGCACCTCCAATGATACGAATGTTTTACCCTTGAAGGTGTCCTAAAAACTTACATTATCCTTACTTTTCTTTTTTCTCTTTGCTGTTTTGATTGGGTGTTTTCTGCTTCTTTATATTCCAAATTGCTGACTTGATTCTCTGCTTCATCTACTCTACTGTTGAAAACCTGTAAATTATTCTTCATTTTAGCTATTGCATCCTTCATTTCTGTCTGGTCCTTTTTTATGGTTTTCATTGCTTTTTATGTTGTTGAAATACTCTGAACTAAGTGTTTTTATGGTTGAGGAGTACTTCCCTTTAGATTAAAGCTTTGCTTTCTTTTCCTGGAGGTAAGAACAAAACATAATTCTGGCTTATTCAGAGACTGTTCATGAATTTCTTATATTGGGAGCTTTTAGCCACTTGTCTGTTATTTTCCCCAAAAAAACAAAACTAAACAAAAAACAAACAAACAAAAACAAAAAGCCCCAAGGATTAGAATTAATACTAAAACCAGAATAAAAAAATTGGCTCATTGTTAACATCTCTTTGAAGGTTTGATGGCTAAGGACACTGATGAAACTGGCTGTGGATTTTAACAATCACTGAAATCCTTTTCTCTGATTATTGAAGATAATCAGGATTTACAAAGTATGAGCTTGGCAACACAACTACTTAAAAACCGAGTAAGGCTGAACTGCACCCAGGGTCCAGGAAGATTACAGTACTGAAAATCCCAGGAGCTTAATGTTAACGAACAGGCAAGT